GGTGTCTACTGCTCCCCAGAACAGTGATTCTTAGCTCAGGGCAACATGTTATCCTGGGTGGGATTCCCAACAAGAATCACCTCAGGGATTTTTCAAGTACACAGCCCTGTCCTGCTCCACCCCGGGTTTCAGAGGAACGCTGGGTGCGGGGGGAAATCCCCAGACTTCCTCAGGGTGCCGCGTGAGCTCTGCTCTTTTTTCATGAGGCTACATCCCTCGGAGAAAAGAGAGCATCCAGTGGAGAGAAGAGTGGCTCGGGGGAACAGTCACCTGTGAGGAATGAGGGTGGGACAGATGGGCCCGAGAGAGAGTGCAGGTGAGTCCTCTTGTGTCAGAGCCAAGCTCATGTGCCTGCTGCTCCCTGCCTGGACAGACCACGTGCTCCTGGAGGCAAGGCCTTGGCCACTGTGGCATCCCACCTGGTCCCTAGGGCGGACTGTGTGCGATGTGGATGGGAGGGGCGGAGGGCACTGAGAGCAGAGATCCAGGGTAAGGAAGGTAGGAGGGAAAGAACTACCAAGAGCCTATGACAGGAACGTGCTTGGAATTCAGTGAGCAGACGCATGCTTTGCCCACTGTCCTGGAGCCCACAGTCCGGGGCCAGGGGCTGTGTGGGGGCTGCACCCATGACGTGTCGCAAAACCTGTCAACGCAGAGGGCAAAGGAGTCAGGCCACGTGGAATGTAGATTCTGTGCTTGATCATCTCCCACAGGGAAGAAACTCTAGGGGCAGTTGGAGAAGAGAGACTACGTTTGAGGGAAGGTTAGCCAGTCCCATGGGCACAGCTGGGCTAAAGATGGCACAGACCAGGTAGGAACTCCCATGTACAAATCTGTCCTCTCCTTCCTAGACCCATGTCCCCAGTCACAAGAGGGACTGGGTGGAGAGTGTGGGCAACTCAGGGGCACCTGTCCCCACCACAGGGAAACAGGGAGACCTTCCTGGGCGTTGGCCAGGGGTGTCAGCCTGCCCCATGTGGGGGGAACCCTGACTGCTGGAGAGAGCACCCCACCACATGCAGAGCAAGTGTGATGGAGGAAGAGAGGGCGGGAGAAGAAAGTGCCTGAGCAGAGAGGCTCAGGGGAGGGACGAGACCTCAGGTCCTGGGGTGCAGAGCAGCTTCTTATCCTCTGCCCCCACAAAACAAGCACCTCTCTTGGGCTTCTTCTCTTCCTGTGTTTTCACTACCCTGTTCCTTCTCTCAAGCGGAAGCCCTAGTTCTATCAAACACCCCTGCACGGAATGCTTGTTCTAGAATTTCTGTCCTGGGTAAAACACAGAAGAGACAAGATGAGGGAGAGGGACAGCATGTGCTGTTGACCTTCTCACTTAGAACCTCTCAACCTTTGAGGCTCTGATGACACACAAGGGGTTTTGCACACACCCTTCCAGGGTCTAATGAACCTGTGAAGTCTGTCCGTGGGCCACTGCCATTAATGTGTGGCCTGGTGTCTGTTGAAAAATGGGATCTACGTGGGCTCTGGAGTCCAGCGGGCTTGGGTGTGTGTCCTTCCCAAACTCCTTTGCCACTTGCCAGCTGGTTTGAGCAAACAATTTAAACTCGGTTTCTTCATCTGTGAAATGGGCGAGAAAAAACTCTTCTGTAGGGCTATTGTGAGGCCTAAGCACCAGAGCACGTGGGGTGTACCCAGGACAGGATATGGCCCACAGTTGGCCATCAGGACACTGTGGTCCTCTACACCATGCCTCCTCTCTGACCATGCTGTCCCCCATTCAAAACCCTCTGTTCCCTGCGTCATCCTGCGGGAACCTCAGTCCTCCCTTAGCCTGCCACTACACATCACCTACGATGCTGGTCCAAGTCGCTTTTCTGTGCCTCCGGCCTGCCGTTCCTCTGTTTTTACTTCCCAAGCCAGACGCTTGTTCTAAAGATACCTTCGGCATTGCCCGGGCCCTGAGTCTGAGCTGCCTGCTCCTTGTCCTTCTCATCATTCCCCAAACCCCAGGGAACGTCCTAATGCCTCTTTTTTCCATGCTAGGCTTCTCTCCAGGCTGTCTGTTCCCAGCTGGACTTCAGTTCCTCAAGGGCGAGGGCCATTCATCTTCTTCCTTGTCGAAACTTCCAAAGCACAGTGTTGGCCCAGCAGAATGCAGCAGCCCAGAGCAGCGCAGGGCGGCTGGAAGTGGACACAACCCACCTTCTTGTGAATGTAGGGCACAGGTACCCAAACTCTTGCCCTTTAAAGGCATGTGCTTTAAGTCTGGTTTTCTCTGGTGTGTGAGAGCCAGCCCCGCTCTCTCACCCAGTCCATGTGTTGGGCAGGGCACTTGCAGCTGGGAACACAGGAGATCCACCTGCACCTCCGTGGGCATTGTCTCATTGGCGACTGTCCTGCAAGATGGCCCTGGCCTGGCAGGCACCCAGCCGGTGTCCCTCCCCTGCCCTCCTCAGCCCCATCCGCTTCAGAGTTTCACTGCCTGAGCTGAGAGAATGGTGAACGATGAGTCGAAGGGACATAGTAGGGGAAAGCATAGCAGAGCAGAGAGGATTCCAGTAAGAAACAGGGAAAGTGGAGGGGAGCTGGGAGGGCCCATATGTGGGCAGATGTGTGCAGTGGATGGAGAGGACAGGAGGAGGACTGTGCTGTAGGGCAGCCTGTGGGTGGCTGGAGATCTAGAGAGAGACCCAGAGAGATTGTGCCTCCTCCAGCCCTGGCTGTCCTGGCCAACAGCTGACAGCATCTGGGAGGAATGAGAGGAAGAAAACAGGACAGATGTTGCCTCCTCTGTTTGTGCTGGAAAAGAGTATCCCACAAGCCTTGCAGGTCCTCCCCTTCTCCCCACCCACAAGGCTCCCTGTGCCTCTTCTTTCGGGCACGCCCCTCCCTGCTCCCAGCCTACCCCCCAACCTCCTCCTCCTGGAGGACCAGCGCCAGCCCAGTGGGCCCAGGAGTCTATGGAGGGAAGAGATGTGGCCAGGACAGGCACTGGGGGAATGGACATCACTTTCAGTAACACCACTGTGTGCATGCTGGTTGCTGCTCCTAGGTCTGCTGGGCTGGAGACTCTAAAGAGAGAGCCTGGGGCTGTGGAGTGAGCCCTTCATGCTTGCTGTCCCCCAGGGGAGGAACCAGATAGGACCCTGTGGGGACTTCATCTGCTAAGCGCCTGAGCCAGGAGGGCTATGCCCGTAGTCCCATTGAATCTTTCTGATAACCTCCCATTTGATCCTTACAACTCCCCTGTAAGGCAGGCATGATTTAAAAGATCTCCATTTTACAGAGGAGGGCCCTGAAGTTCATAAAAGTTTGGAGACTTGCCTGAAACCAGGAAGTTAGCTGGGACTTGAGCCCAGGGCATCCTGATTCTAAAGCCAGTGTTTTTGTTTTTCTCCCACTGCGTCAACCCTCTTTGGGGGACACCATCCCATGACCTCCTCTCGCCATAGCTCCCAGCCCCTCCTCCTTCCCGATCCCAATTTGAGTGTGGCTAAGTCAAGGACTAGACTAAATGGTAGCCACTAGCTGCACATGGCTATTTACATTTAAATCAAAATTAAGTAAAATTAAAAATTCAGTTCTTCTGGTTAGTCATACTAGCCCCATTTCAAGTGCTTAGTAGCCACATGTGGCCAGTGGCTACTGAATTTGGCAGCACAGATACAGAGCATTCCTATCATCAAAGGAAGTCCCAAGGGCAGCATTGGGAGGGAGGGAAAGATGGGACAGGAGAGAGAGAATGGGGGAGGGCGGCCAAGGGCTGGGGCAGAGGCTGCCTTTGTGGGAACGTATGGAGCTGAGAGTCTGGATGAGGGGAGCAGGGTGGGGGAGGAGAAGAGGCAACTTGACCTGACTCCCAGGCCTCTCCCTCCGATACTGATACTCTGGGCAATACTAGTGAGCAATTAATTGGCTGGGGTGGGGCCAGGACCAAAGCAGGAGGGAGGGGAATGGGATGTAGGAGGACCTGCCTCCCTCCTGGCTGAATTCAGGACTCTAATCTGCCAGTCCTGCCTTTCATCCTTCTGGGGTGCTGAAGTCTGCCTGGCCCTCCTTTACCCCACTCAGCGAGGAGCTGGCTGCTTCCTGTCCCCTCATCCAGGTCGGGGAGCCAGCTAATGGGCTGCAGAGCTGTCACATTCCCAATTAGCCTCATTAGCCTCTGGCTCTGACTCCCACTGGAGTCAGGGTCACCAGCTGTTGGGGAGAGGCCGTGAGTGGCCTGTGAGTAACCTCAGACCCAGCTATGGCAGGGGTTCCCAGCCCAGGTCTCTCCCCCAGCTGAGGCCCAGCACCCTTCAGACTACTCCAGGAGCCCCCAGAAGGGAGAGGTCAGGCCACTGGTATCTGGAGTGCAGACTCCTAGCTGGCAAGAGGGGAAAGTCTCATTCATGGATGAAACATGTAAGAGGCATGTGGCAGGCATGAACGTGGGCAGTGACAACAGGGGGGCTCTGGGGGATGGAGTACAGACCCTTTGATCTGCAGGAGAAACGTGGGGACAGAGTGATGGATCCCAAGGAAAGGGGCAGATCCAGGGGCTGTGGGTGAGAAGCCAGGTGGCAGGGGTGGGGGGTCTGAGCAGGCACCTTGCTGTGGATGGGAAAGTTGAAGTGTCTGTGTCTGTGCATGGAAGGAGGGTGGGGAGTGGGACAGGCCAGCACAAGGGGAGGCAGGAGAGTGAGGAAGCCTGTGACGGGCTTGTGGTGAGAGCGGCTGCCTGAGTGGGCAGAGGGCCTGGTTCCAGGTTAAGCAATGCAGAGCCATGGGTAGGCCAGTCAGGTGGCAGGAAGGTGGGAATCATTAAGGGCCCTGTGGCCAGGGGTTCCCCCAGCTGAAGCCTCCCCTGCCGCTGAGTAGGCAGATGCCCTGACTGATTACTTCAGCTCCTCCTGGCCACACCAAGTTGCCCTGGGCACCTGCCCCTCCACCTCCCCACCCCTCCCCACAGTGACTCTTGCCCAGAGAATGTCCAGCCCTGGCATAAAGGCCCTGGGTGTCCACGAGCTACTGTCAGTCAGAAGGCTGCACAGTCCAAGATGGGCTCCTCGCAGGCACCCCAGATGGGGCGTGTGGGAGGGCGAGGAATGATGGCACTGCTGCTGGCTGCGCTCCTCCTGCCAGGTAGGAGGCTGGGGGCCCTGGGAGCGGAGGCAAGCGGGGAGAGCTGGGGAAGAAGGATGCAGATAGCAGGTCAGAGGAGGCTGACGGGATCTGGAGCGGCGGGTGCTGGCAGGTGGGAGGAATCGCTGTCCAGGGAGAAGCCAGGAGAGGACCCAGCAAGGGGGAAGGGCAGGAGCTCTGGAGTCTGAGGGCTACTCCTCACTGCCCTGTCACCCCAGGCAAGTTACTTGAGCTTCCTGAGCCACAGTTTCTGGAACTTTAAAACCAGGTTAATGGTAACAGCTAGCTCTAGTCAGATCTCAGAGTCTCAAATTAAATAATGTATGTGACAAGTGCTTTGGAAATTAGAGGGTTATGTAAATGTTTGTGGTTGTTGTCATTGCTTTTGTCAATGATTAGAGCAGTAGAAGACGAAGACTCGATATTTAACAGGAATAATCGTTACCATCTATAGAGTGTTTTTATGTGCCAGACATGATTCTAGCACTTTCCATTAGCACTTTTGATCTTTAGAAGAACCGTATGAGAGAGATTCATTATCCCCACTGTACGGGGAGGACACAGAGGCTTGGACAGGTCAAGAAACTGGCGGAAGATCACAGCTTAGAAAGCAGTAAAGCCAGGATCCAAACTGGGGCTGTGCTGTGGACCAGTGGGTATTTGCGGAGAAACTGCCCACGGCCCCCGGGGGCAGAAAGCAGGCTGTGTGCCTTGGGGCAAGGAGAAGGAGAGCAGGAACTCTCCATGATGAGTGCCACCAGGTGAGGGGGGCTGCAGGCAGAGCTGGGTTTGGTATGGAAGTGGCCACAGAGAACTCTTGGAGGAGAGAATGGGGACGTCACAAACTGAGGAGAAACTGCTCATTGGGGGACAGATTCGATCTCTCCTAATGTATAAACTAACGCTCAGAGAGGTTTAGTAACTTGCTGGCATGAAGCTCAGCGCACACTGCTTGGGACCTGAAGGCGGTGAGGTGGGGAGCAGAGGAAGAACGGGGGTATGTTGAGCCTGGGGTTAGAAGCAAAGGCTTGGTTAAGGAAAGAAGTGGTTCCACATCTGCCAGGGATGAAAAGGCGGGAGCATGGAGGGCAGGTGGGTGGGCATGGCTGATGGCTGGGTGGAGAATGAGGGAAGCTGATAATGGTGGTGAGCCTCGGAGGCGGGTTTCATCCTCGTGCCCCTGGGCTGGGCTAGGACAGCACGGCTGGCTCAGGGTGCGGTGTCCTGTCACACTGTACCAGCAGGTTCTGAGGTGACAGTGGTGCCCCCACATCCTGGCCCCCACCCAGCTTTCCTGGCAGGGCCAGGACTGAGATGGGAACAGAACTCCCACTCTCTGCCCAAGCCTGGACTCTCCCCAGGAGGCTAGTGACAGAATCTCAGTCCTCAGGGACCCTTGCCTTTACCTCAGTCCCTCTGCCACCAGCTTCCTCTTTTCTCAGTCTCTTTTGCTACTTTTCCTTTCCTTCCCGGCCAGCTATTGTTTTGTCTTGTCTCCTCCTTCCATTTGATCCCTTAATCTCATCTGGGATGTCCCCCTTAGGATGTATGCCCCATCTCGAGGAGTCTTAGTCTACCCCACGCTCTGTTTCTTTGGGGTCCTTTCTTTTGGAGCCATGAGCCCCTGCTACTCCTCCTTGCCCTCTTCTTCTCTTCTAACACCTCCTCCTTTGGAGTCTCATTTTCTCTGTCCCTGCCCACTTCCAGAACATTGAAATGGCCCTTCTACTGCCACCTCATTTTCCTTTACAGAGAACAGTCAGTTATCACTTGCTCTTCCACCCCAGATTCTCCCTGGGCTCCTCTCGGGAGAAATCAGAAGCAGATGACTGAGATGGGCTTGGAAGCTGAGGGAGGAAGCCAAGCCACTCTGACCCTTACTAACCACTCCTTCCTCCCCAGGGGCCTTGGCTAAGAGCATCGGGACCTTCTCAGACCCCTGCAAGGGTGTGCGTATCACCTCCCCCAGCGACCCCTGTTTCACTGGGAAGAGTGGTTCCAGTAGCTTCAGTGGCCACAGTAGCTCCAGCAGTTCCAGCAGCTCCATTTCCAGTTCCAGTGGCTCCAGCAGTGGCTCTTCTGGTGGCTCCAGTGGTTCTGGTGGCCCCAGTGGTTCTGGTGGCTCCAGTGGTGGCGCCAGTGTCTCCGGTGTCGCCCAGGGTGGTTCTTCAGGATCTTCGTTATTTAAGCCAGGAACAGGGTATTCCCAGATCAGCTACTCCTCCGGATCCAGCAGCTCCCAGTCAGGAAGCAGCAGCTCCCAATATGGAAGCAGCAGTTCCCAACCAGGATCGGGCTCGGCTCTACCAGACAGTGATCGTTCTTCCCACTTAGGCTCTTCCCAGTCTGGAGGCGGCTCAAGCTCATCTGTTTCCCAAAGCTCTTGGATATCCAGCAGCAATGGCCAAAGGGTCAACTCTAACTTACGCCCCTGTAATTCAGATGTCTCTGACTCTCCCTGCAGTGGGGGGCCTATTGTCTCCCACTCTGGCTCCTACATCTCCAGCTCCCACTCTGTGTCAGGAGGTCAAAGGCCAGTGGTGGTGGTGGTGGAACAGCACGGCTCTGGTGGCCCTGGAGGGGTCCAGGGTGCCCCCTGCAACAGTGGTGGCCTTCCAGGAAAGCCCTGCCCCCCCATCACCTCTGTAGACAAGTCCTATGGCAGCTATGAAGTGGTGGGTGGCTCTTCTGACAGTTATCTGGTCCCAGGCATGACCTACAGTGGGGGCAAAATCTACCCTGTGGGCTACTTCACCAAAGATAACCCCATCAAAGGCTCTCCAGGTGTCCCTTCCTTTGCAGCTGGGCCCCCCATCTCTGAGGGCAAATACTTCTCCAGCAATCCCATCATCCCCAGCCACAGCTCTTCTAGTTCCAATGTCTACCAGTCGGGATCTTCCTCAGCCATCGTGTTCCAACCAGTGGGCTCTGGTGGGGTCCAGCCCTGTGCAGTTGGCTCTAAGGCGCCCTGCTCCCTCTCAAGTTCTGGAGCCCACAGCAGTTCTAGCATTTCCAGTAGTTCATCCTTCCATCCCTGTGGTGGTGTTTCACAGGGGCCCTGCTCTCCACCTGGCCCTGGCTCCTTCAGCGGCACCTCCAGCTCCCAAGGCAGTGGTAAAATCATCCTTCAGCCCTGTGGCAGCAAATCCAGCTCTTCTGGTCACCCTTGCATTTCTGTTTCCTCCTCTACATTGAGTGGGGGTCCCGATGGCTCTCCCCAACCTGATCCTTCAGCTGGTGCTAAGCCCTGTGGTCCCAGCAGCTCTGGAAAGCTCCCCTGCCGCTCCATCCGGGACATCTTGGCCCAAGTGAAGCCTCTGGGGCCCCAGCTAGCTGACCCTGAAGTTTTCCTACCCCAGGGAGAGTCACTTGACAGTCCATAAGTTAGCTTTTGCCTACATGCATGTGTGGGCATACACATGTATACACACACACACACACACACACACACACACACACACACACCATCTCTCAGTTGGGAGAAGACCAGAGGCCCAGGCATGGGGTTAGCTGTTTGCCTCCTTCCCAAGAGAGTTGCTCTATTTCCTCCATTGCTCCAATATGGCAGACTCCCCTTATCGCCTCTTTTCTTCAACTCTCCAAATTGTAGACTCCAAATTCCTTTCCCCATTCTCTCCTACTGCTTAGATTCCCCTTATACTGCAGTGCCCTCTCTGCCAGATAACCATTCCCTAAAATTTCCTCTGTCATTTATTTGAGATGGTACAATACATTAGCTAATCCTACCCATTCAGATTTCTGACTGGGAAACCCCTGAAATGTTCCATAGTAACTCTGGTTCCTGGAGAAGTCATCCCCCTTTTTACCTGTTTGCCAAATAAAGCAAAGTCCAAACTGTTGCTTGAAAGCAATGACCACTTTTCACTGACCTCTCTTTGCCATCTGGTCAACCAACATGGCACACCATGGGGTTCTCACACTCCCAATTCCACTCCCAGCCTCCACTACAGAGCTCACCACACCCTCTGTGAGTTCCCAACACTCCTTTTTGCCTCTCAAGGTTTCCATCTCAGTCCCCTGTCCTGGCTGCCACTTCCCTCAATGCTTAGATGCTTCCCTGTGTGAGGGAGACACCAGGATACCCTCGGATACTGGAGTAGGTTCCCTGCTCTCTCTGGACCCTGGACAGATGGTTCAATAAACTGTGTGAGCTAGATGCAGACTTTTGCCATCTTGGTGTCCTGGGTCTCACCTTAGGACCTACGTGATGCTCTTCTGTACCTCTAGAAATACCCATGTCCCCCCATTTTCACTCATAAGTTGGAACAGTATTTCTCTTATACTTTATAGGTCCTCCCACAAAGGAGGAAAACAATAAATATTTGTTAAACTGAAAGCAGAGGTTGGTCTCCAAGATTCTTCCTCACATTTCTCTCCTTTCTCATTGCTCCAGGAAACCCATTCTCTCTCCACTCCCCATTCATCTAGGGTCTTCCCCTCTCCCTGTATGGGGCCCTAATTATTCCCCTCCCCACCCCATGCAGGCTCCTTCTTCTCTAATTTGCCTCATTTACTAGATGCCATCCTCTCTAGGAATCTGGGCATTGATTTCCTGGGTTTCTGGGACCCTTGGAACCTTGGGAAAGCTGGAATACAACAACCAGATCAGATTCCTGGTGACTGAGTGGGAGGGATCCCAGGTTGGTGTTGTTCTGGGAACTAGGGGTGGAGAGAGTAAAAGAGAGGTTGGGAGCATGACAGGGAGTGCCGCCAAGCATAGTGACTCAATAGCCTACGTAAAAATGTACCAGCCCATAGCAGAACAGAGCCAAGTGTTCTCTCCACCTCCACACTCTAGCTGCCTCTGCTGCAGTTCTAAAGAGATCTGTGGGAGGTGAGAGGGCAGAGCACTCTAGTGGAGAAAGGGAGTTGTCTCCATGGGAGAAGAGAGAGAAAGCAGAGGGTGGGGAGGCCCAGACAGCTGTGTTCTGGGGAGGCTGAGGCCAAGGAATTTCTTTTACCCCAGGAAGGGGAGAATGGGCTATGTTTGTCCCTTTAGGAAGGACCTCACCCAAAGCACAGGCCACCTCTCAGAACCTCTGCTTACAAAGGAATTTATTCCTACCCTAGGATCTAATCCATTCCCTCCTATTGAATGGTGTTAGCTGGTCCCAAATTTAGGGCTATTGTTGATCAGAAATGACCTGGCAGCTGAGCCAACCTGCAGGGTTGACTGAAGACAGAGAAGGGCTGCAGAATAGTCCTGTCTTTGTCATCATTGGTGAGTCACACTTGGCCCAGCATCTGACCCTGGACTGCTGCCAATGACACGCATCAAGTCTCTTAGAGGTTCCATGCACCACAATTGCAGGAGGGATACAGACTCTGATGTGGGGATTCCTCTAGGCTCTGGTGTGGTCAAGGTCAAAAGCTTTTACAAATCTGGTGGATGTCACTCAAAAAGGACTTTGCCCTCCACTGGCCAGTTCCAAAGAGGAACTCCCCACTCACCCAGTAGCTAGCAATCAGGGGCTGAGGATGAGGATGGAAAAGGAAAATCTAACAGCTTATTTTAGACTTCATGTAACCAGGGATGCCTTGCCTGGGTATCTCCTGGAAGCAACAGAAAAAACAAAGGCATTTATACACTTTTTATTGTAAAAAGCTCAAACATATTTACGAGTAAACAAAAGAATTAATGAATCCCTGTTCTCTCACAACTCAGCTTCAAAAATGATCAATTCATGACCATTTACCTATAGCATTTAAACACCTTCCTCTACTGTGAGTTGGGAACACCTACTCCCTCTCAGTATTTCTTATATTCTGTATATCCATTTGACCATCTGTAGTAGACTGAATGCTGTCCTCCTCAGCACCTCCAAAGATGTCCACATCATCCCTGGAACCTGTGAATATGTTAGGTTACATAGCAAAGGGAAATTACGGTTGCAGATGGAATTAATGCTGTTAGCTGACCTTAGAGAGATTATCCTGAATTATTTGGGTGGGTCAATGTGTAATCATAAGGGTCTTTAAATGTGGAAGAGGGAAAAAGAAGAAAAGGTCAGAGTGGTGTAACATAAGAAGATCCTCGGTTTCTGGCTTTGAATATGGAGGAAGGGGACCATGAGCCAAGGAAGGCAGGCCTCTAGAAGCTGGAAAATGCAAGGAAATGGATTCTCCCCTAGAGCCTCTAGAAAGAAACACAACGCCGGTGACTCCTTGATTTTAACCCAGTGAGAACTATGACAGACTTCTGATCTTCAAAATTGTAAGATAATAAACTTGTATTGTTGTAAGCTACTAAGTTTGTGACTATTTGTTACAGCAGTGGAAGGAAATTAGTACACCGTCACCTCTTAAGGATGGGAACCAGGTCTATTTCCTTACAGACAAGTCTCATTTAGGAGCAGCCTCTCCAATGGGGGAGGTTCTTCTGCACTCCAGAACTTCCCCTATAGGTTGCGTCAAGGTAAAGGAGCTATAGGGATGCATGAGAAAGGGGTGCTGGAAGAGAATGATCTGGATCCCAAAGAGAAAATGAAGAGAAGTGTTTCTATTGCTGAGAAGGAAATGAAGAGATTGGGACCCCAAAGGTGAAGGCTCTCCTATGCTTGTTGTAGGGAGCCAGGGCAGGGCGGGACTGGCAATCAGTGACGAGCTATGACCCATGACACCAGGTCAGGAACGGGTGGGGAACTTTAGGAAAGGAACCAGGGACGGAAACACCCAGCCTTCCTGGGACATTCAAGTGGCACCTGTTGCCACAGATTGAATTAGGAATGAGAGTGGAATGTACAGACTTATTATCTGCACAACTACTGGCTCATCTTGTTTCTGCTGCCCACCCCCCCACCCAAGAGGATAAAGGGCTGGCTGCCTTGGGGCAGAGAGAGATGTTAGAGCTGAGCAAGATGCAGGGCTGCACGGTGGGGAGCAGGGTTCCTCTGGGCCTGATTCTTCTGATCTGTCTTCATCTTCCAGGTATGGAGGTTGTGCCCAACCCTTGCACAGGTAGAGACTGGGGGCCCCAGGGGAACTGGAATTGAGGGAAAGGGTAGAGGCAGGAGGGTCCCTTGGGTCCCTGGGGAAAATGAAGGGGCTGGAAGCAAAGAGAATCCAGGAATCAGGAAAGGTGGGCATTGGAACCAAATATCCAGTCCATTTGCTGTCTCCTCTTTCCTTTTCCTCAGGCTTCTTTGCCCGAAGCATTGGTGCAGTGGAGGAGAAAGTTCTCCAACACTTGGGAATCAACTTGCATCTGCTTGAACAACCTTCCTTGCCCAGCCACTCCAACTCTGAACTTCCTCAGCCCAAACCAGACCCTGGGCCAAATGATTTAACAAGGGTTCCTTTGAAGTCCAATGCTTCTCCATTAGCTGGCTTCCAACCTGCAGGTGGTTCTGGGGTTCAGAGATGGCCCCCAACTGGGGGGGCTACCCTCCATGGATTCCTGGTCCTCTGAAGATCCTTGGCAGATAATGGCTGCAGCCACTGAGGACCACGTGAGGGAAGCGCTGCCTGAAAAATGGTCTTACCTTTCTGGTGCTGTTGCCCTCCCTCTAGGCAGCAGTCCTTTGCCCGCAGGGCTCTCTGCACGCTCCACAGGCCCCATACCCAAGGCTTCACTCCTCTACCAGGATTCCAAGTCCAGACGGTCACTTCATTCTAATGTGCTGGGAGCCCAGAGAGAAATCCTTGTTCAACACCCACCCGCTCTTAACAGGATTTGACAGCCATTTCTGCCTGGGCACCCCTGGGGAATCTTGAATCCAGGAGTGTCCTGGGGAGGTGGAGGTCCTGGAACTGGATGGGGAACAAGGCCCATGCCACAGCCTGTGGGAATCTGGGGTATCAATAATCAACACCCAAGTATTAGCTGGGGGGATATTAACCAGTTTCCAGGAGGCCGCTGGGGGAATATTAACCGGTATCCAGGTACCAGCTGGGGGGATATTAACCCATATCCAGGAGGCAGCTGGGGGAATATCCACCTACACCCAGGTATTAATAATCAGTTTCCTCCCAGAGTCCTCCGTCCTACTGGCTCTTCTTGGAACATTCCAGCTGGCTTTCCCAATCCCCCAAACCCTGGGTTACAGTGGGGTTAGGAGAATGACAGAGGGGAAAACCCTAAGTTGGAAATTGAAAGAATGCAGTGTGAGCTAAATGAAGATTCAGTGAGTGTGTTTTCTAGCATTCTCTTTACTTTTCACTGCCTCTCCTGCTTCACCCCATGCCAATCTCTAATAAAACACAAGCAGTTATTAAATTTGTTCCTTTGCAGTGTCTTTGTTTCTGGGTGCAAAGTGAAGTAAGTTTTGTCCATCCCCATTCTCTAGCCACCCTGTGTCTCTGTAGGGTCTCTAGGAACTCTGTCCCCTATACTTTGCACAAGATCAAAGCCCAGATGTTTGAGGGTGGAACTTTATGGTCTCACCCTAGCCAGGTGGGAGAGCTGGTTCTACTTACTTACTACATACTACATACTACTTACACAACTACTGTATAAAAACTTATGGGCTTAATAAACCAAATTTATGCAAACATTAAATATTGGTTCACGTTTACACTAATTTATATATTAAATGAAAATCACAAGTCTGGTATGTAAGATGCTCTTAAGTATCTTACACTCCCCAATGAAGCAAACAAATGCACAAGTTGTAATGATTATAAAACTGATCCCTTCATTTCCAGTAAAAATCAGAAAGCAAGTTCCATGGATTTAAACTTACTTCTTCATTCTTCTCTGTCCTCTTCCATTGTTCGGTTCCCTTTCCAGGATGTCAATATGTTTTATTTTTTTTTTAAGATTTTATTTATTTGACAGACAGAGATCACAAGTAGACAGAGAGGCAGGCAGAGAGAGAGGAGGAAGCAGGCTCCCCACCAAGCAGACAG